GGTCCGGGAAGATCTCACATGCCGCGGAGCGGCTGGGCCCGTGAGCCATGGCCGCTGAGCCTGCGTGTCCGGAGCCTGAGCTCCGCAACAGGAGAGGACAAAAGAAAAAGGCCCGCGTACGGGAAAAAAAAAAAAAAAAAGTAGCCTTGTGCTCTCATTACTTTATACTAGTAAAGGACGTGCTCTTAAAGATGTTACTATTAACTTCCTGATGACCAAGTCTAATGACTTTTCTTCAATCCTTGCCCTTCATTTCTTAGCAACATGTGACACCACTGACCCCCACTTTCTTCTTGAAACCATATTCCATTGACTTCCATGATATTACATTATCCTAGAAGGTACATCTTTATCCACAGTCCCAAAATCCAGTATACCCTGTATTTTATGTTTGCCTAGAGACAAACAAATGTGTTTTCTTTGGCCAGATTTTAATGATGCTTTTAGACAATGCCTGTACCCTCCCATTTGCTAACTAATCCATCATTCAATCCTCTTAAACTTGACTGTTTCACACATTTATATTACCTGCCAGACATTTCCCTTTACCAAGTAAGAGGCAAAAGAGATGAGGGCTCTGTCTCATGAAATCATAAAGACAGAAATGGATGTATCTGAGCATGTAAAACATGAAAGGCAGTGTTGGCGTGAATGTGGACTCAGGCACCAAGAGAGAACTGACATACTCCACCTAAAAAGGTACATTTAAGACCCACATAAAGAAGTCTGGCAGTACACAGCAGCTGGTAAGCACATTCACTCGGCAAGCAGCTTTCAAGAGCCTGCTGTATGAGCTTCAGAGAAGTTTCTGGCACCATGCAATAAGCATGATGTAAGTTGATGTTCTTTTATATAATATTGTCATCATTGAAATCATTATCATTGCTGTGATTATGGGTCAGACACAATTCTAGGAAGGACAGAGTCACACAAGGCCTGTCTTTCTCTTTACTCCCAAATAGAATATATCCCCAATGTCCTGCACCATTCCTGATACACGCTGGTTGCTCAAAATTTTCTGAAGAATGATAGAATAAATAATGGGAGATTAGGGGGAGGCCATCCTTAGTCTTTGAAATCCACATCCAAATTCTGCTCTGACAGTTTCTGAAAGAAAGAAAGTATCAGGGCTGCCCTGGGACTTTAATCTTCCTGAAGGAACTGAAAGGACAGACTGTCTTGCTGGAAAGGTTTCCCAGGAGCTGGACAGGAGGCTAAGTGGATGAATTACATAACGTCTGCAGGAATTACGGCCATTAAGTGCTATATAAGCACCAGACACCATTAATACTACTATCTAAAAGAACTGAGCATCCCATCACTTCTTATGTGGTAGCCTTAGCACAGCAGAATTTTCTAAGTGTTTCCTCTAACATGCCCTCTCTAATAATACTAATCATTGATTGGTTTGCCAGCTGAAGCACTGATAATGTTCTAGAAGCATGTCACACCGGCAGGTCACAAGGGCAGAACTGGTGCAGCCAGCTCTTGTTTGAACTCTGGTCAGGTCTTATGTGAACGGTTACAACATCCTTACTGTCTGCTGACCTTAGATGGGCTCAGTCAGCCAATTCCTAACTACACTAGGCCCATCCTTCTAACTATATTGGCCGTTCTAAACTGCGATCTGTCTAATCATGCCACTTTCCTGCATTCAAACAGTGCATGATTTCTTTTGGCCTAAAAATACCCAGATTCCTTAATAAGGCATAACTTGCACTGGGCTATTTGCTCTCTCCTCTGAGCATCCTAGCACTGTCTACCCACTCCAGAGCAACCTGGAGTCTCTTCCTACTTCTCCAGATGACTTTCCTCACTTTTGTTTCCCTGGGAAACTCCTGAGTATCTTTCAAGCATCCCTTCTACCCTGAAACCTTCCCTCATATCCATCTGCAGAAGCAGAATGAATTGCTATCTTCTCTACATGTCTATAACACTGAACTATTTTCTTGTATCAACCAGGACCTTTGGCTGCAAAGTTTGGAAGTCCGACTTAAACAATTTAAGCTACAAATTGGGATTTATTCAGTATGTATCTGTGGCTAGTTCTCTTCCTTGACCCACATCGCAGGGACTCATCCTGCATTTTTCTCCTCTTTAATGCTGTCCACTCTGTCTCCAATAGCTTTTCTGTCCCAGGACTGGCTTTAGAACAGGTGACAGGCTCCTGGGCTCCCGCTTCCTTGCTGAAGCCAAACCCCTAGGCCCCTTCTTCTGTCTCAAGCAACTTACCTCTAGTTCAGGAAAGAGAAATACCAAGGGACATCAGAACGTGTGGATCCTAGACCTTATTCTGACATCAATTAGCTGTGTGACATTTGCACCATTGTTCTCTCAAGTGTGAAATGAGGGTGTTGGACCAGAGAAATTTCTATATTAAACTTCGTTATGCAAAGGACATTTCAGTGAAAATATTTTTACTGCAGAGTTGAGCAATACCTTTACCAGTCTCAGAAAAAGAAAAAGAAAACGTTTTAAATAGTTTTCTATCCACCAAATAAACCAGCATTGGCCTTACCTAAGTTTACCAGATCCATTTTGATTACTTTTAATACTTCCTTTTTGCTCTGCTTCTCAGCAGGGATGACGTGCCTGCAACATACATTCAGAATTTTCTCCTGAATGTAGATTCTAGGAAAAGCTGAAGTGAAGGGGACAGAGAAGAAAAAAATAACATAGATGACATTTCTTTTAGGCTCACTGCCTAGATTGCACTTAGCCTGCTGCCTTATTCTCATTAGTGCCACTGACTGAATCTGATTAGCCCAACCTGATTTATTTTTGGCAACCTGGGAACACATGGGCCAATGCTTATTTTAATGGCTGATAACAATCATCCCCAAAGCTGCTGTTAGCATTTGGAAGATTAGTTCCTTTTCCTGGAGGCTTTAACTGTCTACAAGGCATCATGACACATGAGACACAGATTTCTTAAACACTTTACGAAATTGAGTTTATTTTTTCCTCTTTTCATTATCATAAACACTTCCAGTTTATTGGCTGTTAAAACATAGAGCAAAAAATTCTTAGTAATTGTGTATCTGATACCTGTAAACTTATTATTTTCTGAGTTAGTGAATCAACTTCTATAATCAATAATGAATAAAAACCAGATTTCAGTGCTATTGGATACTCAACACTTGGTTTAGCCTCACGTTCCACCTGATCGCTGGCAATGGAGAAAGGGTCACATTTTATGTTTGGTCCCCAAAGTACAGAACTCTGTTTTAGAAATCTGCCCATGTATCTGAGGATAAGAGACAAATGTGGATAAAGGACATTTAAAGAGTCAATCCGTACTGACAATTCCGGGTTACATAAATCTTCCCAGGCCTGCCCAGATCACAAACCACCTGGCATAGGCCAGGCATTGGTCCTGGAGCTGGAGACACAGCTAGAAATAAGATGCAATCTCTGCCCTAGAGGACTTACAGTCTAGTGTAATAGGAATAGCGTGAACACAATTAAGTCTGCTAAATGTTAACATAGAATTAAACTTCTCTTAATGCCCAGATAGTCTTTATAGGTACTAGGACCTTTAAAAACCAGACTTCTTAAAAAATGAAATAAGAAGGAAAAAAAGTCAGTATGTTTTTAGGTCTATACAGTATCTTTTAAAGGATTGATGCATTGCACACCTGATTTGGTTGCTGACAATATGTGAGGTACAAAAATCAATAAGTAGATTAATCCTAGGAGGAGAATGCTCACATATAATTAATGCAATCGGCAATCCTTTCATTCATTTAACAAATATTTATCAGCTATATCCTGTCTGTCAGACTCGATGTTAGGAAAATAAGTCAAGAGGACAAGGCAAAGACATGTAGAACAACAGTGGAGCTCAGTCTTGGTACTTATGTACGGTGGTTAAAAGTCCAAACTACATGTGTGACCTGGAGCAAGTGACTTAATCTTTCTGGCCCTCAGTTTGCACAGTGACAAACTGAGATGGAAATAATAATATCTACCTCGTGAGATAACTCTGAATATTAAATGAGATGATCGTGTTTATAGCCTGCCTAGCTTGGTACCTGGATCCTTGTAAGTCCTTGACAAGTTTCAGCAATTTTCCTGTCCCACTTTTGTAGAAAAGAAACCTGAGGCTCAGAACAATGAAATAACTTGTCCTGGACACTGCATACCCAGAAGGTAAATTAAAAACAGAACGGCAAATGTTAGAAAGTCTATGAGTCTTGTCAAGACCAGAGAACAGAAGAGGACGGATTCTGCCTGTGGAGTGTGGGAAAAAATCAGGAAGGAATATTTAAACCAACTACACAAATGACTTTTCAAATACTGTTCATGAGCATTTATCCGGAGACTCGGAGCAAAGTTTTCAGTCCACTAACTGCTGATTTTTCCATCAACGCCCGCGGTTCCTGAGTCTGGTCCTTTCCTCAAAGAGCATCTTAGTTTCTCATATTAAGGACTGGCTAACCTTTAATGAGGATTATCACAGGTTTCTCAGCCCTGACTATTTTAGTTTCCAGAACTGACAGGAGAGACATCAGAGAGGAAATCACTCCCTTGAAACAAACATTCTTCTAGAATTTTCCTAGGACTATGGCAGGACTACTCCCTCCAAAGTAAAATAGTGCTTCTTCAAACCATACAGCTTCTTCAACATAGGTGAAACAAAGTCCTTCCATAGGACTTCTCTGGAAGTCGAGTGCCAAGATGATTTTCATTCATTTATAATTACGCATTTCCATGGTGTTTATTTTGTGTTTATTACATGGCACAATCCATGAACCGGAAGCAGCTTTTCAATCAAGAAGAATGCTAAAAGTAAAAAATCCTGAGAAGATCAATTGCCACAATAGGGTTAATCTCCCTCTTTCTGCTTTTCCTCGTACGCTAAAATACCTATGTAACTCTATTTCACAAAGCAATGCTTATCATAACACTAGTTTTGGGGAAATTATGTCAGTATAATTTTATTGCAAAATAATCTGAAATTTGACCTCCATTTCCTTTTTCTCTCTTTCCTTAAACAGAGTGCTACAACATTCCATGTAACTGTCCAAGATGATAATAGCATCGCTGTCTCTTTAGAAGCTTCAGATGTCATGAGTCCATCATCCGTGTATGTGGTGAAGATAACTGGTGAATCAAAAAATTACTTCTTCGAATTTGAGGAATTCAACAGTACTTTGCCTCCTCCCATTATCTTTAAGGCCAGTTATCACGGCCTGTATTATGTAATCACTCTGGTAGTGGTAAATGGAAATGTGGTTACCAAGCCATCCAGATCAATCACTGTGTTAACAAGTAAGCATCGTGTGCAATATTGTTCTCTGTGTCTCTTTGTTGGGCATATTCCCCTGGGGGTTCTCATGAAAACAGAGCCCAGAATGGCAAGATCAATTGCCTTGAAATCGAGTGACAAGATTCAAAGTTCTGCTTTACCTTAAGAATACAGTCCCTTGCTGAAGCTGGATCACGTTTTACTGTAACCTTTTGTTAATCAAAATGTGTTTAAACCAAAAAAAGTCAACCTATTTTGAGATTGAATGACAATTTCAGATTCATGATTGGACGATGTAATTTGCTGCTATATAATTTAATAGTATGATTATAACTTTTTTTTTCTAGAACACATATTCTCATATTAAGCAAATTGCTTTTTGAGGCAATGAATTTATGCTAATATTTAGCTGGCTCAAAATCAAAATTACGGGCTTCCCTGGTGGCGCAGTGGTTGAGAGTCCGCCTGCCGATGCAGGGGACACAGGTTCGTGCCCCGGTCCGGGAAGATCCCACATGCCGCGGAGCGGCTGGGCCCGTGAGCCATGGCTGCTGAGCCTGCGCGTCCAGAGCCTGTACTCCACAACGGGAGAGGCCACAACAGTGAGAGGCCCGCGTACCACAAAAAAAAAAAAAAAAAAATCAAAATTACATATTTTTAGTTGAGAGAGAGTAAAATATATCGTTATTTATCAGTTGCTATTCCTCACCTCACCCTCAAACTAGCCTAGGCTTGCCCAAGAAAAATGCCAAGAAAAAAAAGTCATTAACATTTTAACCTTTAGTAGCACATGTCTTAAGAGGTCATGCTGATATTAGAAATTTTTTAGGAGTGGTTTTAACTACATATGATTTTCACTTTTCTCTCTGCCTTTAATACATAATCTCAAAGTAAAATTCGGCTCTACTGTATATGTTGATGTATGGAAGAAAAACTGTTATCTATAAGATGGTAGAGTTTATCACTAGAGCAATGCAATGTCTCAGCAAAGTTCTTTTTGCTCTTTGTTCCAGTGGTTGCAATCTTTTTCTTTTTTTTTTTTTTTGCGATACACGGGCCTCTCACTGTTGTGGCCTCTCCCGTTGCAGAGCACAGGCTCCGGATGCGCAGGCTCAGCAGCCATGGCTCACGGGCCCAGCCGCTCCACGGCACGTGGGATCTTACTGGGGCCGGGGCACGAAGCCATGTCCCCTGCATCGGCAGGGGGACTCTCAACCACTGCGCCACCAGGGAAGCCCCGGTTGCAATCTTTTAATTGCCATCTATACGTGATCTTTCTGGCCACAATTAAGGAAAAGGACATAGTGCTATTTTCTGTTGGGATAAAAAGAAACACCAAGAAGCAAGAACTCAGAATCAAGCTAGAGGACATATTTTTAACATGTCTGTCAAAAGTTAATTAAAGTTTCCCTTGGCAGAGTTCCAGGATCCGTACTGAGTTCTAAAAACTAGGCATGGCACAGACCCAAGACCTTCAAGGTTTATACGTATAATGAACAAATCTAGGACCGAGCTGAATTAAAGGAAGGGACTTGCCTGGTAAAATGCTGTCTTAAACAAGCTCCAGAAATGGCGAATTAGGAGCTAATAGAACCAGGCAGCAGATCTAGGCGTATAATGCCTATAATGTAACACCTGGAATCAGAAGCTCTGCCTTACTCATCTTCATAATTTCATAAGCATGACCTAGCATGACCCTTATGCTTAAATGGTGATCAGTAAATATTAATTCAATTTAGCTGAGCAAGTAACAAGAAAAGGAACCAGGAAAAAAAGGCTAAGACACAGAGCAAAATAAAACTAGTGACTGTTGCTGACCCAACACTCATTAGCAGGCACTCAGCCACTCTGGATTAAAGCTGGAGGAGTCGGCCCTTTAGTTAATGGTTCACAAAGAAATGTGTTAAGTAAGTAGATGGTGAAAGATTTCTGGAATATCTTGTTGATATTTTAGCATGTGCAGTAAGTTCTACTCAACATGTTTTCAGTTTTCTTTTGTGATTTCTTCTTTGATACGTGGGCTAGGAATTGTGTTGTTGAATGTCCAAAGCTTTGACGATTTTGCAGAGATCTTCTTATTGATTTCTAGGTAACTGTCGTTGTGATCAGAGAACATGCTCTGTGCAATTTCAATGCCCAAAAAGTTGTTGAGATTTGTCTTATGGCCCCGAATATGGCCTCTCTTGTGCTTTCTGTGAGCACTTGGTGGGTGAAGTTTCAATAAATGCCAATTAGGTCAGGTTGGCTGTTCAAGTCTTCTCTACCCTAACGATCTGCTGTCAGTTTGTTCTAACAATGACTGACAGAGGGAATGGATTTGTCTATTTCTCCTTTCACTTCTTTTAGCTTATGCTTTAGTTCGAAGTTCTGTTGCTACGTTGTTAGGTGCAAATACAATACTTTTAGGTTTACCATGTCTTTTTGATGAGCTGACCTTTTTATCTATATACAATGTCACCCCTTATACCAAATAATATGCCTTGTGTTGAGATCTATCTTGGCTGATATTAATATAGACATTTTAGTTTTCTTTTGTTAAGTATTTTCATGGTATACCTGTTTCATCTTTTTAATTTTAACCTACTTATATCTTTATATGTAAATGGGTTTCTTGTAAACAGCATAGAGTTGGATTTTGCTTTTTTCCCAATCTGAAAATCTCTGCCTTTTAATTGGAGTGTTTAGACTAGAACTAGCCAATAAAAATAGAATGTTAACCACATAGGTAATATTAAATTTTCTGCTAGACACATTAAGAAACTTTCTGAAAAGGTGAAATTAATTTTAATAACATAGTTTACTTAACCCATTACATTCAAAATATTATTGTTTCAGTATGTCGACTAAAAAAAATATGCACAACCTAAAAGTTGAGTGTTATGTTTTCTTCGGTGGACTTACTGAGGACTTCAAGCCCGGGAGGCAGCGTCTCAAGTAACCCTGAGAAAACTGCTCCAAGGAGGTGAGGGGGGAGCTAGGATATATAGGAGTTTTGCAACAAAAGTCAGGTAGTAGGAACAAAAGATTATTGTTAATAAAAGAAAACTAGTTAAGGAATTTAACGTTTTTCTATGTGTGGGAAGATGCAAGGGTCTGGGCTCACTGAAATCATTCCTTTGATACGCACTTCAGCTATCTGGGGCCTGTATCCTCTGTTTTCACATCCTGAGTTTCCTCAGGGCTCACCAGCTCACCTTTGGCGGTGGCTGCAATCGCTGATGACTGTGACATCCTTTGTTTACTGATAAGGCAGACAATATTTTATTTCTCAAGTATATAATCAGGATATAAAAATTTACACATTTTTTACTCTTAAATATAATTAAAATAAATAAAATTTAAAATTCAGTGTCTCAGTGGCACTAGCCTTATTTTAAGCGCTCAATAGCCATATGTGGCTAGTGGCTACCAATTTAAACAGTACAAGCTTAGATCATTTATTTTTAGATCATGAATTTAACTTAAATCTTCCATATTGCTAGGCTGTTCGTGTGAGGAGTTGGGTCACTCTAGTCAATAGTTGAGCTCAGTTTAAAGTACTATTAACCTACAGTTCATCACAGACTTCAAATTCTTCTGGTCAATGGTAGGTTGCCAGCAGTGACAGAAGGTGTTTCTCAGTATTCCAGTTCTACCCTCAATGTTCAGCAAGTCCTGAACACATGCACCACAGAAGGGATCCATGATTTTGCCTCTCCCTTACCAATGGACTTTCTACTAGTGCTAACTTTTGGGGGGATGGGGGAGGATCTTGGTTCTCCTCCTTCAGCCTCAGGCTTAGGCAGATGTTGTGATGCTAAGTGGGGCATTCTCAGCATTCCTACCCCTTGCTATACACTCACAGACAAAGTCTACCTTAAACCTTGTAGATGGTCTTGGGTTGGAGAGTCTCCTGCCTCTTCCCCATAGTAGCAGAACTCTACCTTCTATCAGTGCATGAAGATCATGGGTCCAAGGCTGTTTCTGCCCTTGACTCAGGAATATACATCTTTTACTTCTACCTGTCCCCCAGAAGGAGGAAGATCTTTGCCAGAGAACTGAGAGGGAAAGAACTTCTACCTCTCGCTTAAGCGTTTTGCTTTGTATTTTTAAAAAGTCCAGGGAATTAAGTTTTCTCCTTGATGGCTTAATGGTGCTAATTATCACTTGCATCCCTGTGCCCTGGAGGGTAGGAGGGTAGCTCTCTTGCCATCAGTATTTCTCCTGAGCACCTGACGGAGGCCCATGTAAAGGGCTAGAGAGAAGTGGGCTCCACTTGTGCCTGGGAGCCCCACTCATTTTAAACCAGCTCTGTCCTATACTTTTGGACAGAACTTTTGGATGATGGAAATGTTCTATATCTGCATTGTCCAGTACAGTACCCCCTCATTTTTAATTTTATTTTGATTCATTCTAAGTTTAATTTAAATAGCCACAGGTGGCTGGTAACTACCTTCTTGGACAGAGCAGTCTAATTCTGGATCAGGGAAATTTTAGTTGCTTTCTTCTTTCCTGCTTTAATGGTGCCCCTTCTTTCTGCCATGCCCTACTAAAGGTAAAACAGTTAATGTGTCCCTTTTCTCCTCAGAGGGGCTTGTCTTTAGAATTTAGTTCATTTGGTTGCCTTGCAATCTTATTTCTCTGATAGACACAAGAAAAATTGTGTCTCATGGATTATTCGGCTTTTTCTTCTCACTGTTGGATGTTGGGATGCTGCAGGAAGGGGGACCCCTTCCAGGGCCTGAGAGTGGGCTCTTGTCTAACACTAGGAAATGAATTGTCCGAGGAAACTCATGTGCTGACAAAGCAAGAGATGTGATTGGGAAGGGGCACCTGGGTGGAGAGTAGAAGGGTAAGGGAACCCAGGAGAACTGCTCTGCCATGTAGCTCGCAGTCTCGGGTTTTATGGTGATGACTCACGGTCCTTCCTGGCATCACTCAGCCAAGATGGATTCCAGCGAGGAGGATTCTGGGAGGTTGGTAGGACATATGGACTGGCATCCCCTCCCTCCTTTTGACCTTCCCTGAATTCTTCCTTTTGTGG